CCCTTGAATCGCGTTAACGGCGAAAGCGCCGCGGAAACATCATGATGGAGGGGGAGCGAAGGGGACAGGGAGGAGTGTGTCCGCCTTCCTCTTCTGCCCTGGCCCCAACCCGCCCCCGTGGCCAACGGAGAGGTCTGCCAGGAGCATCTGGGCAGGGGCTTGTCGGTTCTGCTGGCTTCCCTCGAGGCGGCCGCAAGTCCCTCCGGCTGGGGTGAGAGCGGGGTAACTTGGGGCCGTTGTCCCGCGGAGCAGGTCCCTTTACCAGCCAGCCCCGCGGGTGGGTGACTCAGTGCCGATCAGGAATCCCCGCGGTGTCCCTGTCCCCCGTGTGAACGAGGCCTGCTTCGGATTAAGAACAGCCCCTTCCATGCAACCCCCATGGAGCCTAATGCGACGAGCTGGAGACCGCTCGCGGGCTAAGGCGCGGGGCCACGCTTCTGGCTTGCACCTCGCGGGGCAGCTGCTCCGCTTCTCTCACCGAGCGGACACACGTGCTACACGCAACACGGGTCACTCTGAATCCACTACCTCGTCTATGAAAGGGGAGGGGGGGTCAGATCCTGTGCAACTCCAGTGGATTCCAGGGGAGCCTTTGCCCGCAGACAAGTCCCGAGGAGGCCCCGGGCATTTATAAATCAAGCCCCAAAAAGAAAAGATTGAAGAGCAGGAACAAGACGGGAACGGCCGCAGCAGCGGAGCCGGGGCCCGGGCTGAGCACGCCTGTGTCCTGGCCTGGATCTAGGTCCCGAGGGCCGTGCCAAGGGGCTGGCCCCGTGTCTAGAAGGGGGCGCGGGGATGAGCTTTGGCAGATCGCAAGGCAGACTACCAAGGGTAGTTGGTGCGGGCAGGGGCTGCCTGGCAGCTGTGGGGCCGCCCTGACAAATGACCGTCGGGGCAGATTCCCCCCTGGACCGCCGGGATTTAGGGGCCTGGAGGTCGGGGCCGGGCTGCAAACCCGAGGGGGGACACGGCGCCTTCCAGCCTTTGCCTCCTGCCCCGAGCGCTGCGCCGGGCCCGGGGCGGGCAGGGAGCGGGCTCGGCCGGGCTGGGGGCACCGCTGGAGCCGCTCCTGCGGCCTCAGGGGACAGACGGACCTTGCGGGGGGCAGCTCAAGGGTGGAGGCACCGGCCGGGGAGGTGGTGCAGGCTCCAGCGCGCCCAGGGCGCGGGCATCCACCCGGCTCCCGGGCGCCGGCACCGGCACGGGCTGCTTTTGTGATTTGGGGGCGAGGGGCTGCCCCGCGGCTCGGGGGTTGTTGTGGCCATGAAACACGCCGATGTGAGACGGGGCGAACACGTCAGGGACCTCGTGTATGTGTGCGCGGGTGGAACTGAGTCTGCGGGGTTGTGTATTTTATACACGCGCCATGTACACTACATACGTAACAGGCATATATACACGCACGTATATATTATGTGCACATATATCTCTATTACGGCACGGATCAGAAGAGACTTTTATATATAGGCTGCGCATACATACATGTCTCTGCACGTGTGTGTATACACATACATTACACACCCAGATGTAACGTCAATAGATATCTATGGCTCTATGGATAAAGCACATGTGCGCTTTGTTTTTGTGTGTGCAGGTCTGTGTGTGTATACACACACACACATACGGACTTGCACACATAAAAACAAAGCGCACATGTGCCTCATCCATAGATAGAGCCATAGATATCTATTGACGTTACATATGGATGTATGTGGGGAAAAAAAAGTTACACACATTATACACCCATCCGTATATACTTATATATAACTTGTGTGTAGCACACTATATATGCGCGTGTGTAGCACACTATATATGCGCGTGTGTATATGTGTAACAGATTGTATATATTTTTGTAACAGATTATATATGTATGTATGTATGTATGTATACATATATATAACTCATATAACAAGGATGTTACATATATGAGTGTATGTATATATATACACACAAACATGTATATATGTAACATCCCTGTAACAGATATGTATATACATATATATAACACACATTAATATACATACATTAATATACATATTATATATGTAACTTATTATATACATATATACATTATGTATATAATATGTATGTTAATGTATGTATATTAATGTATGTAACAGATATGTATATACATATCTGTTATACAGATGTTACATATATAAGTATATATTATATGTATATTAATGTGTGTATCAGTTATGTGCATATATATGTGTGTAACATATATAAATATATATGTGTGTTACATCTATATATGTTACATCTCTCTCTTTCTATATACATATGTTACATCTATGTAAAGGATATACGTATATACACATATATAGATATATATCTGTTACATATATTTGTCTACATAGTATATATGTATGTAATGTTTGTGTAACAGGCTATATATATGTATAACGCGTGTAACAAAATGTTGTGGGTGTGGGTGTGTGTAAGAGGGAGAGTTTTTTCCACACACCCAGAGACCTGCACACACGCGTAGCCTATATATCAAACACCCCCAGCAGCAGCGCAGGAATCCAGCACCGCCAGTGAAGATAGGAGAGGAAATTTCTCCGTGGCGCGGTGATAGATCATACAATGTGTGACATTGGTTTAACCAATAAAACAATTTGAATCAATTAGCTCGCGGAGGAGAGTTTTGAAGTGTAAAATTCATGTCAGTCTGGCTAGGAAGCATTGATTAAAATGTCACCAATTTGAGGCTTACAGCTATTGCTCACATGAAACCAGCAGGCTCCGAGATGGAGGAGAGTCGCGCTCGCGTGGGGAGGAGGGTCCCGTGGGCCGGGGCTGACTCCGGGCGAGCTGGGTTTCGCGGACGGGGCAGGGGAAGGGGGCGCGCGGCAGCGGGCTCCGGAGGAGCTTGCAGCCGGGCTGCAAGGAGGCGGCGAGCCGGGACCGCCGGCGGCTCTGCCTATGTATTAGGAGCATTTTCCTGCGTCGGATCCGCGCCGGGAGACTGGCGGCGACCGCTTCCCCCAAAACACCCGGGCTCGCTTACAACCCAGCCCGGTGGAAGGGATGTCTGGCATGTCCCGGCCTGCGGCAGCTCTGCCTCCGAGTCCGGCAGACTGGGGTGCGGTGCAGGGAAGATGCTCTCCGGGCAGGGCCAGGCGCTGAGCGGGGAGGGGACTCCCGGGGGGCTCCGGGCTCCCCTCCGCTCGCATCAGCCGTGTCCTCGCCTTCATCCCCCGGAGAAGAGCAGGCGCCGGGCTCCGGCAGCCTTTCCTGGGGAGGAGAGGAACTGCCTCGAAACCCTGGCAGGGCCCCTGCGGGCTGGGTCCTCGGGCCGGGGATGCTGCGAGGATCATTTTGGCCGGGAGAGCCGGAGCGGGCGCCCGGGGGCACCCGCCTGCGCGAGCAAAGCCCGGCTTCGTTTGGCTGCGGGTTCTTT